AGCTTGTGTGGCGGAAGTCAAACGCAACTGGGACAAGCCTTTGTCCAGCAGTACCCAAACTAGGCACTTTATTGGTATGGACATTCAGGGCATGCAGGACAAGGGCTTCGGAAAAGGCAGATTTCCTCTATGGTCCTATCGCACCAAAGGAACTGTTTGGGCGTCCTGTCGCCACCATGCGACAGAAGTGCGAACTTCGTAAGGAAGGCGAAGCCTTTAACTTCTGCTTGCCCCGCAGATCTGGGTACCATGGTAACCCGGTCTCCCCCTCCATGAGCCAAGGCTTTGGGAGAGGGCAACGCTGGCACCAGGATTTTCCGCAACGCAAAACCCCCAGCAACGCAGCAGGCTGCGAACCCTCAGTTCAGCTTTCCTAACAGAGGCTGACAGGGGAAGCGGTCCTTCAGTGCTGCCTCATCGAGGTCCCGCCCACTTAATTCCCTGGGGGAAAGAAGGGGCATCCGACCTAGGCGTACGTCGCCAGCGGCAGTGAGGGGCAGCCAACAGTTCACTTCGTGTCCCGGCCTGCCTCCTCCCGGGTGGAGCACTTCTTTCTCCCCATCACAATGGGGGAGAGGCACATCTAAAATCCTACCACTCATGCAGCGTAAACATTAGTCCAACAGTTGCAAACGAGAGTCTCTATTGGACAAATTCAGGTATGTTTTTCGTTCCGTTTGCTTCCGTTTAAGAAACGTTTTTCAACACTATCGGCAGAATGAATACACCCCTGATCACACGCAAAGAGTTCACTTTTATAGCCACACAAACAGCTTGTTGTATTCCTTCTCGCATCTACACGCTCTCCTCCTCTCACCTTTTCCCTTCACTTGTGGACTTCAGTGCACAACACATCAGCTGTCTGTGACCAGGCAAAAAAAAAAATCCAAGCCAAACATTCATATCATAAGGCCTACATCATTGTCACCATTAGCTAAACTAACGTCATAGTCAACATAGCTAATAGAACTAACGTGTTAGTAAACCCGCTACAATCATGCAGTACAGTATAGCAAGGGTTACAGCCCGGGTTACAGACCTAGCTATCTTTAGATGAATGTATTAACTGTAAGTCGCTCTGGATAAAAGCGTCTGCTAAATGACTAAAATGTAAAAGGGCTCGTTCCACCAGAGGTATGGCTACCTCTTGGTCACTGTTTTAAGGCATCTCCTTAAGGGAGATTTGTGTTATGGCATGTTGGGCCACACCTCATACGTTTATTACATCTTTACCTTCTGGATGTCACTGCATCTTTGTTGGTGTATACTTCCTCACTGTTGAAGCCCCTGAGGGGTGATGTTCTTGGGACTACCCTGGCTTCGGAGAGCCTCTCTGCGATATGGGAGTTGGCCATATTCTAATGTGAGACAGCGAAATTAGTATTTTAAATAGAATTTAGGGTGACTTGCGTAACCCTGGTTCTATGATAATATGAGTGAGATGTCTCACATTGGAATATGGCCAACTCCCATATCGCAGACATGCTCTCCAAAGACAGGGTAGTCCTAAGAACATCACCCCTCAGAGGCTTCAACACTGAGGTGTGTATAGTCTTGTGAGTGTGCATAGAGTGAGTGCAAGATAGGGTCAATGCAGATAGTCTGGGTAACCATTTAATGAACTATTTAGCAGTCTTATGGCTTGGGGGTAGAAGCTGTCTCGGTGCCTTTTGGGCCGAGAGCCGAAGCTCTGGTACCGTTTGACGGAGGGTAGCAGAGTGAACAGTCTATGGCTTCGGGGGCTGAAATATTTTGGCTTTTTTTCGGGCCTTCCTCTGACACCGCCTGATATAGAGGTCCTAGATGGCCGGGAACTCGGCCCCAGAGATGTACTGGGCCGTCCGCACCACCCTCTGTAGCGCTTTGCTGTCAAGGGCGGTGCAGTTGCCATATCAAGTGGGGATGCAGCCAGTCAAGATGCTCTCAATGGTGCAGCTGTAGAACATTTTGTGGATCTGAGGGCCCATGCCAAATATTTTATTTTCCTGAGGGGGAGAGGTGCTCACCTCATTCGCCACTTGACCTGTCTGTCTCCATCAGATGTTGCGTGATTGGTTCTTCGAGCCCAGTGATCCGTGTGTCACGCCCTGGCTCTGGGGACTCTGAAATGTTGAGCCAGGGTGTGTAGTTTCTGTGTTGTATTTTCTATGTTGATGTGCTATATCGTTTAGATCTATGTTGGCCAGGGTGGTTCCCAATCAGAGGCAGCTGTATCTCGTTGTCTCTGATTGGGGACCATACTTAGGCAGCCTGTTTGGCACTAGTCGGTGTGGGATCTTGTTCCGTTAAGGTTTGTTTTGTGTAACCTAGGACTTCACGTTTCGTTTGTTTGTTGTTTTGTCGTGAGTTAAGTACTTAATAAAATGTACGCTTATCATGCTGCGCCTTGGTCCGTATCTTCCATAAACGATCCGTGAATCCGTGTAAATCATCTCACTCATATTATCATAGAACCGGGGTTACGCAAGTAACCCTAACTTTTTATATCTCGATTCAGGGAATTTAATAATAAATCTGACAAAAGTCTACTGATGCTCATAATATTTGGGGTTTTCTTCTATCTGTTAGTCCAGTAGATTTCATTGCACGTGAATTAAGCTGTCATCATCATATCTGGGTGGTTAAAGAAAAGTGTAGCCTATTAATTACAGCTCAAGTCGGAAGTTTAAATACACCTTAGCCAAATACATTTAAACTCAGTTTTTGACAATTCCTGACATTTAATCCTAGTAAACATTCCCTGTCTTAGGTCAGTTAGGATCACCACTTTATTTTAAGAATGTGAAATGTCAGAATCATAGTAGAGAGAATGATTTATTTCAGCTTTTATTTCTTTCAACACATTCCCAGTGGGTCAGAAGTTTACATACACTCAATTAGTATTTGGTAGCATTGCCTTTAAATTGTTTAACTTGGGTCAAACGTTTCGGGTAGCCTTCCACAAGCTTCCCACAATAAGTTGGGTGAATTTTGGCCCATTCCTCCTGACAGAGCTGGTGTAACTGAGTCAGGTTTGTAGGCCTCCTTGCTCACACACGCTTTTTCAGTTCTGCCCACAAATGTTCTATAGGATTGAGGTCAGGGCTTTGTGATGGCCACTCCAATACCTTGACTTTGTTGTCCTTAAGCCATTTTGCCACAACTTTGGAAGTATGCTTGGGGTCATTGTCCATTTGGAAGACTCATTTGAGACCAAGCTTTAACTTCCTGACTGATGTCTTGAGATGTTGCTTCAATATATCCACATCATTTTCCTTCCTCTTGATGCCATCTATTTTGTGAAGAGCACCAGTCCCTCCTGCAGCAAAGCACCCCCACAGCATGATGCTGCCACCCCCGTGCTTCACGGTTGGGATGGTGTCCTTCGGCTTGCAAGCATTCCCCTTTTTCCTCCAAATATAACGATGGTCATTATGACCAAACCGTTCTATTTTTGTTTCATCAGACCAGAGGACATTTCTCCAAAAAGTACAATCTTGTCCCCATGTGCAGTTGCAAACCGTTGTCTGGCTTTTTTATGGTGGTTTTGGAGCAGTGGCTTCTTCCGTGCAGAGTGGCCTTTCAGGTTATGTCGATATAGGACTCGTTTTACTGTGGATATAGATACCTTTGTACCTATTTCCTCCAGCATCTTCACAAGGTCCTTTGCTGTTGTTCTGGGATTGATTTGCACTTTTCGCACCAAAGTACGTTCATCTCTAGGATACAGAATGCGTCTCCTTCCTGAGCGGTATGACGGCTGCGTGGTCCCATGGTGTTTATACTTGTGGACTGTTGTTTGTACAGATTAACGTGGTGTCTTCAGGCATTTTGAAATTGCTCCCAAGGATGAACCAGACTTGTGGAGGTCTACAATATTTTTTCTGAGTTCTTGGCTGATTTCTTTTGATTTTCCCATGATGTCAAGCAAAGATGCAATGAGTTTGAAGGTAGGCCTTGAAATACATCCACAGGTACACCTCCAATTGACTCAAATGATGTCAATTAGCATATCAGAAGCTTCTAAAGCCATGACATCATTTTCTGGAATTTTCCAAGCTGTTAAAAGGCACAGTCAATTTAGTGTATGTAAACTTCTGACCCACTGGAATTGTGATACAGTGAATTATAAGTGAAATAATCTGTCTGTAAACAATTGTTGGGAAAATTACTTGTGTCATGCACAAAGTAGATGTCCTAACCGACTTCCCAAAACTATAGTTTGTTAAAAAGAAATTTGTGGAGTGGTTGAAAATAGAGTTTTAATGAATCCAACCTAAGTGTATGTAAACTTCCGACTTCAACTGTATATGTAAGAATAATGTACAGAATTCACAAACAGCCATTAGAAGAAAACATTTTAATCAATGGCAAAATCATAATTTTAATAGCCCATTTACCTGTCCCACATGTTGAATCAAACACTAAAATCAATGAGAAGGGTGAGCAGAAACTGAAAGAAATGCATGGAATATATACAAAAAAATCAGTTAACAGATTCATGCTAAAACACTATACAAGTACTGTTATTCAATACATATTCAAGCATATCCAGAAAAGGGGGAACACAATTAAAATAGGTGTAATGGTCCAGTTGAAACCAAAATACACAAAATGATACCCTGAAATTGTATAGCACGGTTTGAAATAACCATTTGGACACTGTTTTCATAGACATCGCATTACATTTTACAAAGTTGCCAAGACATGCAATTCTGGATGCTACTCTCATTTAAACTGCACAATAATGTACTTATTGTTACAGAAATTATTTGGTATAGCTTTGTTCCCTAACTTAAAGGAAAATACCACTCAAACTATATTTTGGTATTTGTATTAGTCCACTGTTGATACAGTCCCAAAATATTTTGCATGTCAGCAATCACATTTTCAAGATATAGAACTTTCAAAATACAGAAAGTGTCACAGTATGATGCATTTTGCAACATACTGTGACCCATTCTGTATTTTGAAAGTTCTATATCTGGAAAACTACCTCCATTCCATTCTGTGCATCTTTAGAGGTAGCAGGACCAGTAGATTATATTAAACAGAGTATAAGACCCAGGAAAGATGACCCGGGAGTACTTGTCTATGGCGTGGGTGTCGACCCACATGCTGCTGTAGGCACTGGAGCCCACGTGTCCTGTGATTTGGTCGTTCTCCTCAATGTCCAGATGGACCATCATCCTCTGCTGCTTCATGGCGCCATTCTCCTCAAGCATACAGCCGTAGTTCCCCGTGTTGTTGACGTCCTCCTCGCTGTAGCTACCCATCATGCCCGGGTGGGTCATGCCACAGGTGCAGGGCAGCTGTAGACAGACACAGAGATTGGGTTAGATACAGAGCTACAGTACTCACATTTTCCATCTGACAAGCACATAATGTATAGATCTAGCCTACACTTTTTCCAGAGGAATTTGAATGGTAAACTCTTCCCAGAGCATATTTTACAGGCTGAGAAACTGACACTTTGGATCTATGGATTATTATAATGGCACTTACCCTTTCTCTTAGCTTTTTTTCCTTCCGTTCTTGCACCGTAGACAAGTAGTTCACTGCAGCGTACTCTATCACCGATAGGAAAACAAACACAAAACTGACCCAGAGGTAAATATCCACAGCTTTGATGTAGGAAACCCTGGGCATGGAGGCGTTGACTCCAGTGATGATGGTGGACATGGTGAGCACTGTGGTGATACCTGGAGCACAGTACAACACACAATGTCTGATCAGAAAGATTAAAACTTAGGGACACAGCAGGATAGGCTACTGAAGGCAGAATATCAGCGGTGTTTAGGCTTTGTAATAATGAAACATGAATACAGTAGAAGACAGAATCATAATAAGCTTCGAACAAGCGTTGACTAAAATCTTGGACTACTAGGGGCTAACTCACCCAGAGGAACCCTGGCCGGTACGGCCCGGCGGTCGATCCAGAAGGAAACCCAAGACAACATGACCATCAGAGTGGCAGGGAAGTAGGTCTGGAGCAGGAAGAAGAAGATGTGGCGTCGCAGGGTGAAGGTGATGTACAGACGGTTGTACCAGCCTGGAGGGAAGAGGATAAGATTATGACATATGTTATATCCATTGCAGTGCATGCATTTCATTAGCATAACAGAAACCCAACCTTGATAAATCACAGTGAACAGCATGTGTTGTGTCAGCCTTCGGTGCTGTACCTGTGCTGCTGTAGAAGGCTAGTTTTGTGGTGGTTTGGAACTCCTGGATGAGGAACTGGGAGAGGGAGATATTTTCGTCAGTGCTCAGGGAATTGTTCCCTTTCTTCCAGTAGAGCATCAGGTCGTCATCCGTGTACGCATCTGAAAAGAAAGGGGCATGCTGTTCAGTGTTCACCACTTGAAACAGAGTCTATGAACAGGTACATTATATTATGATTTGAATATGACAGCAGAGAGGGAATCAAAAGGGAAGTGACATAATCTGAGCAGACTCACAGCTCTCAATCTCCAGGGAGCAGGTCTGTGTGTCCAGAGGGAAGCGACTCAGGTCCATGCTGCACATTGATGTCACTGTCACCCTGCATGAGAACACAACACAGACATCTCAGTATTGCCTGGTCCCAGATCTGTTTGTGCTTTTGCCAGCGTCATTGCTGTCATTGTCAAGCCAATGTTTGGCATGACAATGAGTGACAAGGAGTTGACATTGTAGCACAAACACACTGGCACTCAGGCTAAAATGAGTCGTTCTCCAGGTTTTCACAGGGTTTATTTGTGCTTGATTTTGTTGCGGCAGTTCTGACATTTTGCATGGCAAAATGCAATGATTTTGTCCAATTTGTCATGAATGCGCTGACAAGGTGTCACGATCGTTTAAAGATTTGTGGAACCAAGGCGCAGCGTGATAAGCGTACATTTTATTTAGTACTTAACTCACGACAAAACAACGATACGTGAAGTCCTAGGTTACACAAAACAAACCTTTACGGAACAAGATCCCACACCGACTAGTGCCAAACAGGCTGCCTAAGTATGGTCCCCAATCAGAGACAACGAGTTACAGCTGCCTCTGATTGGGAACCACCCTGGCCAACATAGATCCACACGATCTAGAAAACACAACATAGAAACTCCACACCCTGGCTCAACATTTAAGAGTCCCCAGAGCCAGGGCGTGACAGTACCCCACCCCAAAGGCGCGGACTGCGACCGCGCCACACAAACACAACAGGGTAGGGGCCGGGTGGGCATTCCGCCTCGGAGGCGGATCCGACTCCGGGCGTGACCACCACTTTCTCTCCACCTCCCCGTTGCGCCCCTGGTCTGGTCTGGCACCGCTGACTGGAGCTGGACCCGACGACGGTGGATCGATCTGTACAGGCTCTGGACTGGAGCTGGACTGGGCACCGGTGGAGCGGATTGCTCTGGCTCCGGAGTGGATCCGCTGACTGGAGTTGGACTGGACCCTGGTGGAGCGGATTGCACTGGCTCCGGAGTGGAGCAGCTGACCGGTGCCGGACCAGGCACCGGTGGAACAGGCACGGGCCGTGCCGGACTGGACACACGCACCACTGGCTTGGTGCGGGGAGCAGGAACGGGCCGGACCGGGCTGACGACGCGCACCACTGGCTTGGTGCGGGGAGCAGGAACGGGCCGGACCGGGCTGACGACGCACACCACTGGCTTGGTGCGGGGAGCAGGAACGGGCCGGACCGGGCTGACGACGCGCACCACTAGCTTGGTGCGGGGAGCAGGAACGGGCCGCACCGGGCTGACGACGCGCACCACTGGCTTGGTGCGGGGAGTAGGAACGGGCCGGACCGGGCTGACGACGCGCACCACTGGCTTGGTGCGGGGAGCAGGAACGGGCCGGACCGGGCTGGCGATGCGCACCACTGGCTTGGTGCGAGGTGCAGGAACAGGCCGGACCGGGCTGGCGACGCGCACCACTGGCTTGGCGCGAGGGACAAGAACAGGCCGGACCGGACTGGGAACACGCACCACTGGCTTGGTGCGGGGAGCAGGAACAGGCCGGGCTGGACTGGGAACACGCACCACTGGCTTGGTGCGGGGAGCCGGAACGGGCCGTGCCGGACTGTGGAGGCGGACTGGAGGTCTGGAGCGGAGAGCTGACACAACCCGTCCTGGCTGAATGCCTACTTCCACACAATACGTGTGAGGCATCAGCACAGGACGTACGGGGCTGTGCACTCGTACTGGCGCTACAGCACGTGGCACTGGTGCAGGATATACGGGACCGAGGAGGCGTACTGGAGACCACGAGCATTGAGCCGGCACACCCCGTCCTGGCTGAATGCCCATCTTTGCACGACACGTGCGTGGTGCTAGCACAGGACGTACAGGGCTGTGCCGGAACACTCGCGGCACAGTACGTGGCTCCGCATAACACGGAGCCTGCCCAGTCACACGCTTCCTAGCCTGAGTACGGGGAGTTGGCTCTGCTCTAACCCTAGGCTCCGCCAACCACCCTTTTAGCCCCCCCAAAAACATTTCTTGGGGCTGTCTCTCGGGCTTCCTCCTCGGCCGGTACCCTCTGCGTTGCCGCTGCTCCTCTCTATAGCGCGCCACCACAGTCTCCTCCCAAGGACGGCGATCCATTCCGGCCTGAATCTCCTCCCAAGTCCAGGATCCCTTCCCGTCCAGGATCTCCTCCCAGGTCCAGGCTGTCTGTTCCTGGACACGCTGCTTGGTCCTCTTTTGGTGGGATCTTCTGTCACGATCGTTTAAAGATTTGTGGAACCAAGGCGCAGCGTGATAAGCGTACATTTTATTTAGTACTTAACTCACGACAAAACAACAAACAAACGATACGTGAAGTCCTAGGTTACACAAAACAAACCTTTACGGAACAAGATCCCACACCGACTAGTGCCAAACAGGCTGCCTAAGTATGGTCCCCAATCAGAGACAACGAGTTACAGCTGCCTCTGATTGGGAACCACCCTGGCCAACATAGATCCACACGATCTAGAAAACACAACATAGAAAATACAACATAGAAACTCCACACCCTGGCTCAACATTTAAGAGTCCCCAGAGCCAGGGCGTGACACAAGGGAAAAAGTTTGTTGACGTGTGACTTGATTGAACCATATTATGGGGTAAATGTGTGGTGATTGGTTGAAATTGTGAGCCCTCTTTTTGTACTGCAGTGATGGTTTAGTTTTATGCGATTATATTGCGATGATTTGACTGTTTTATGCAGAAATAGTGCAGTGATTGGTCAAATTAGCAAGCCCTCACATAATATGCGGAATTGTTGCAAAAACTTTTTTTATAATGATAAGATCGCAGAATCCTGGAGGGACTGTCCTATAGGTCAAGAAATACACTGAGCCATGTAGTATAATACAATAATGCAATGAGAAATAGGTTACGGCTGGGGGGTATGGGTGAATGTGTTGTTGTATATCATATTTCAGACACATACAGTATACACAGAGTCAGTTGTTTGAGGAGATTTGGAGCCCCCAGGGCAGGGATGAATACATGAAAATAGAAGAGATAATCCAGCTCAGTATAGAAGAGACCCACCGCTACACAGGATCCTCTGGGAGGGAGGTCCACGTATAGTACACAGGTAGTTAATCCCCCTCCCAATCTGTCAAATCTCTAGTCCAACCCCCGGAGAGATTAACCCTACTGATGAGCCTGCATGGTATCTAAAGTAGAACACACACCACCCTGTCCCTCCACGTCCTATACATCCGTAATGACAGAGAAATCCTATAATCCACCGCAAGATTGGGATTACAGACGGCCTGCGTGTCTACCAGGGCAGACTTCACAGACCCAAAACCAGAGTCTTGGGAGCATGATCGCTGACACCACCAGTGATGGAAGTGGTAATGACTTTTCGTATCCACAGGTGTCAAGAAGACTGTACGCAGTGTGTTCTGATTGCCAGCAGAGGGCGCTACTGAAATAGACATCTTGATACTGACTTGCTGACAAAACTCTCAAATGGACCAACTGTGGATTACAAATTCAGTGTCTCACTTGGTTCCAGCATTCTGATTACTCACCAAAATTACAAACTCACTTTCTGCCTGCAGCTTGACTATACTTTACTGACAAACAGTTTCTCACCACATCCATTCAATTATGTTGTCATGATACAAGGTGCACCTCTATTTGGTCAAGATAAATATATAGACACACTTGGCCAGGACCCTGATCCAACAATAACAGCATGACAGCACTTTTTCATTTGCAAATTGCTCATGGGTAAAAAAAAAGAATGGAAGGTTTGAATTTAGCCTGCCTCAGCCGGCAGCTATGTGATTTGCTTAATGAAATCACTTTGAGGGTAAACTGCCAGTTGGCAAAGACTAGCGCTTACAACACCACACACTGTTGATTCCATTCCAAATAGTCATCAGACCTAGCAAAGTAGATTTCACCCATCATTTGTAGGCTTTTTCTGGAATTATTTTATGTAACTAGCTACTGTACTCACTACAGTTCACAAAGGTATCTGCTGAGCTAAAGCCTTGGTGTTGGATGAGGTCTGGGCCGATTCCAGGCATAAGCGACATAAATGGTCACTTAGGGCCCCCGGGCCACTAGGGGGCCCTGACCAAAAACATTTTATTTTTTTATGAACTCAGTGGGGTCTCAACTTACTATTGGGAGTAAGAATAGTAGAATACACCAGGTGCGATTTCAAAATGTGTGCATAATTCGTTTTTCTCTTATTATGTCTGTCACTGACATTCACTCAATTAGCCATGTCATCTAACAATTGTTAGATCAGTATTTAGTCTAGCCAGCTATCTTAATCATGACTGAATACCAATCGGGCACGCAGGCATACCTCCAGGGAGCCCCCATTGATTTGGTTAGTCATTCTCACTCAGATCATATTAACATGGCATTAGTCATTACAGGAAATTGCAGGAAAATTGCAGGAAATTAGCAATAAAACTGTAGAATTCTCTCTATGCCCAATGGCAAAATGTATAGAATTGCAGGAAATTAACTTTAAATCTAAAGTATGTATCTTCACTGTCAAGAGGGGGCCCACTAAAATGTTTTTCTGCGAGGTGGCAAACTATTAAGTGCACTACATTTGACCAGAGCCCTATGTGCGGCAGGTAGCCTAGCGGTTAAGGCCAGTAACTGAAATGTTGCTGGTTTGAATCCCTGGGCCCACTAGGTGAAAAACCTGTCTATGTGCCCTTGATTGAGACACTTAACCCTAATTGCTCCTTTTGCCTTGCAAAAGTATTCATCCCCCTTGCCATTTTTCCTATTTTGTTGCATTACAACCTGTAATTTAAATGGATTTTTATTTGGATTTCATGTAATGAACATACACAAAATAGTCCAAATTGATGAAGTGAAATGAAAAAATTAACTTGTTTCCAAAAATTCTAAAAAATAAATAACAGAAAAGTGGTGCGTGCATATGTATTCACCCCCTTTGCTATGAAGCCCCTAAATAAGATCTGTTGCAACCAATTACCTTCAGAAGTCACATAATTAGTTAAATAAAGTCCACCTGTGTGCGTTCTGTGTCACATGATCTGTCACATGATCTTAGTATATATACACCTGTTCTGAAAGGCCCCAGGATCTGCAACACCACTAAGCAAGGGGCACCACCAAGCAAGCGGCACCATGAAGACCAAGGAGCTCTCCAAACAGGTCAGGGACAAAGTTGTGGAGAAGTACATATCTGGGTTGGGTTATAAAAACAAATCCAATTGAGAATCTGTGGTATGACTTAAAGATTGAATGTACACCAGCGGAACCCATCCAACTTGAAGGAGCTGGAGCAGTTTTGCCTTGAGGAATGGGCAAAGATCCCAGTGGCTAGATGTGCCAAGCTTATAGATACATACCCCAAGAGACTTGCAGCTGTAATTGCTGCAAAAGGTGGCTTTACAAAGTATTGACTTTGGGGTGGGTGAATAGTTAGGCACGCTCAAGCTTTCTGTTTTTTTGTCTTATTTCTTGTTTGTTTCACAAGAAAAAGTATTTTGCATCTTCAAAGTGGTAGGCATGTTGTGTAAATCAAATGATTCAAACCCCCCAAAAATCAATTTTAATTCCAGGTTGTAAGGCAACAAAATAGGAAAAATGCCAAGGGGGGTAAAATGTAGGTGGGGGGTCCCCCAACCAAATCTTGCTTAGGGCCCCCAAAAGGCTAGAGCCGCCCCTGGATGAGGTGAATTTCTCTCTTACTATCTAAAGCGCTTTGAGTACCTCTGTAGGTAGAAAGGTGCTATATAAATCCAATCCATTATTATTAAGGCAAGTGAGTCTTCCAGTCTCAGGCAAGGTTACTCATCATCACGGAAGTGTGTTTCACTAAACCTCTTCCATTACACCAGTATGCTTTAAACTGAGCGCCAGTGGTCAACCATGGAGCAAAGAACAAAACTAATGTTCGACTCTGACCAGGTGAATTACCTTTGGCTGTAGAGCACCTTGCCATCAGGGTAGACTCTCAGCATGACATTATCTTTGGTGGTGTCGTGTGTGAAAGACTTCTTGGAGTGGACAAAGAACATGTCTGGCACCCAGATCTTCTTGACCAGGCGCCCGTCATAGGTCATGCTCTTATTGGTTGTGCTGTGGAAAGAGAGGCGCTCGTCTTTCCAGTAGTGCCTAATATACATGGTCATGGTGAAGTCCTGAAACACAAAGCATGGCAATGCTAGTATTTCAACAGAGCCATCACATATTAATGTCTTGCCATCTTCTTTCCAAATCATATAATCATGGGATGCTTTATTTTGGTTTAGATCACAGCTCACAGAAAGTATTGAAACACTTACCATGTCAACTTCTGAGATCGTGTCCAGACTTTCTACCTGAACATCAACTCCAACTGGAACAGCAGGTCCTGCAAAGATACACAACTCAAATCTTAACTTAATTCAAAGGAAAACATATAATACATAAGTAAACAAATTCCATAGGGAGGTCACAGTTAATCAGTTAACTCAAGGTCAATTTTTTAAATATTAGTGCACTCATTTAAAAAACAGTGTTCCAAATAAACTGAAACCATCCAAAATGCATAAATCTATACAGCTAAAAACAACAACGCGATGTCAAAACAAGTTGAGATTGAGGTTAAAGAAACCGGATTTTGTTTACCGTTACTTTGGAAAAAATCAAGACGTCAATATTCTTATTATGTTTTTCGTTTATAAAAAATCCTAAATTACAGTTCAATTTGAGCAAATTCTGAAATCACAATTAATCACAGAAATCGCGATTAATCACAGCAAATCCTGCGACAAACTTGATAAGAAATATATATTGTTTGACAGCACAAAAACAAAACCAATCAGATATGATAACTCTTATGTAGCTTGTTTCCTTAAATAACTTATATAGTTAATTATTGGAGTAGGGGTAATCTTGACAGTACTTAATTAAATACAGACAAAAACAAAAGGTCAATGGCTATCTAATATTATACCTCCAAATTGCTGTAATACTAAACTGTCTGGACTATGAAGCTGTATTTAAGGGTAATTTTTCTCTAGACAATTCTATTAAAAACAATTAGCTTTTTCTCCTCTAGTCCCTTTCATCCAGAGCCCTGCAAAAAACACAATTAGGCTACAGTGTTCCAAAACTAAAATAAAAAAATAGCGGAATGCTCTTCAGAATATTTAGTGTGTGCATTTTATAATCTGCTGCCCTGGGTTGAAATGTCATATTGCAGACAGCTGAAAGAAGCAACTGTCTTCATTTCCCTTAAGCGTATCCAAAAGGGACCACTAATTTTGTTTGTGTATCCGATGAGCTAGCAATACAACGTATTATTCATATCTCTACAAACAGTATATACAGTTGAAGTCGGAAGTTTACATGAACTTAGGTTGGAATCATTAAAACTTGTTTTTCAACCACTCCACAAATGTCTTGTTAACAAACTATAGTTTTGGCAAATCTACTTTGTGTATGACACAAGTAATTTTTCCAACAATTGTTTACAGACAGATTATTTCACTTATAATTCACTGTATCACAATTCCAGTGGGTCAGAAGTTTAAATACACTAAGTTGACTGTGCCTTTAAACAGCTTGGAAAATTCCATAAAATTATGTCATGGCTTTAGAAGCTTCTGATAGGCTAATTGACATAATTTGAGTCAATTGGAGGTGTACCTGTGGATGTATTTCGAGGCCTACCTTCAAACTCATTGCCTCTTTCCTTGACATCATGGGAAAATCAAAAGAAATCAGCCAAGACCTCAGAAAAAAATGGTAGACCTCCACAAGTCTGGTTCATCCTTGGGAGCAATTTCCAAACGCCTGAAGGTACCACGTTCATCTGTACAAACAATAGTACGCAAGTATAAACACCATGGGACCACGCAGCCGTCATACCGCTCAGGAAGGAGACTGTTCTGTCTCCTAGAGATGAACGTACTTTGGTGCGAAAAGTGCATATCAATCCCAGAACAACAGCAAAGGACCCTGTGAAGATGCTGGAGGAAACAGATACAAAAGTATCTATATCCACAGTAAAACAAGTCCTATATCGACATAACCTGAAAGGCCGCTCAGCAAGGAAGAAGCCACTGCTCCAAAACCGCCATAAAATAATGAATAAATAATATGCCATTTAGCAGACGCTTTTATCCAAAGCGACTTACAGTCATGCGTGCATAAATTTTTACGTATGGGTGGTCCCGGGGATCGAACCCATTACCCTTGCATTACAAAAGCGCCATGCTCTACCAATTGAGCTACAGAGGACCACAAAAAAGACAGACTACGGTTTGCAACTGCAAATGGGGACAAATATCGTACTTTTTGGTCTGATGAAACAAAAATAGAACTGTTTGGCCATAATGACCATCGTTATGTTTGGAGGAAAAAGGGGGTTGCTTGCAAGCCGAAGAACACCATCCCAACAGTGAAGCACAGGGGTGGCAGCATCATGCTGTGGGGGTGCTTTGCTGCAGGAGGGACTGGTGCACTTCACAAAATAGATGGCATCATGAGGAAGGAAAATTATGTGGATATGTTGAAGCAACATCTCAAGACATCAGTCAGGAAGTTGAAGCTTGGTCTCAAATGGGTCTTCCAAATGGACAATGACCCCAAGCATACTTCCAAAGTTGTGGCAAAATGGCTTAAGGACAACAAAGTCAAGGTATTGGAGTGGCCATCACAAAGCCCTGACCTCAATCCTATAGAAACTTTGTGGGCAGAACTGAAAAAGCGTGTGCGAGCAAGGAGGCCTACAAACCTGACTCAGTTACACCAGCTCTGTCAGGAGGAATGGGCCAAAATTCACCCAACTTATTGTGGAAGGCTAACCGAAATGTTTGACCCAAGTTAAACAATTTAAAGACAATGCTACCAAATACTAATTGAGTGTATGTAAACTTCTGACCCACTGGGAATGTGATGAAAGAAATAAAAGCTGAAATAAATCATTCTCTCTACTATTATTCTGGCATTTCACATTCTTAAAATAAAGTGGTGATCCTAACTGACCTAAGACAGGGAATGTTTACTAGGATTAAAGGTTTAATGTAAGAGTTTAAATGTATTTGGCTAAGGTGTGTGTAAACTTCCGACTTGAACTGTAATTAATAGGCTACACTTTTCTTTAACCACCCAGATATGATGATGACAGCTTAATTCATGTGCAATGAAATCTACTGGACTAACAGATTGAAGAAAACCCCAAATATTCACACATCAACTATTCATTGGCTTTAAATGCCACAGCGGAATTATTATTCTGCATTTTGTATGTTTACATCTGTTACGATTCACTGTCTGTATAGATTCTTCTGGAATCGTAATCATTTTGGGACTTAAATTGCAACCCAATTCATCTCATTTTACTGGTGTTTTGGGATTGATCCATCAGTAAGCAGTAGCTGTATTTGGGTCCCAAGAAGTCTTCAGATTAGGGAAGTCACAGAAGGGTTATGGAAACCCTGAGCTCCAGACTGGTGCTGCTACTGTGTAATTAATCACAATGTCCCACAGCAGACATAATCCCAGTTGGTTATGTCATCAATTCAAGGCACACTGAAGCACGAGACATCGTGTACATCCACTTCCAATATCCGTTTATGAGAACTGATAAAGGGCCATATCTTCACTTGAGTAAAACAGCTATAACTTTTCAGAAAATATGTCATCGACATCAATGCATAATTTAACAATGCCTTTACGATAAATCATGATTAAGTAAGAATTGAAAGTATGTGTCAGAAAATATCGGTGAACTGTACAGTAGGATGTTGTTGATGATGATGATGATGATGATAATGATAGATTTGTACGGCACACAATAAAGCACTGTTAAAAAACCTCACCTCCAAAGCCAGGCCTCATTGTGAAGTCGTGATCATTTATGCTTAAGAACTGTTCTGAATTACTCATGGTGTTTTTGGTGATATCTGGAATTCTTCTCAGTATAGGGCTGTGAAGAGGGGACAAAAACATGACTAATAAAACAAACTGTTTTAAATTACACTTCTTGTCATTGTCTCTGAACCTTTAGCATACTGTCAAGACTAGCCTGTCCTAGATCTGTTTGTGCTCTTGCCAACTCCACTGCTGTCATTGTCAAACCAAACATGTTTGGTATGACAATGAGTGGCAAGGAGTTGTCATGATAGCACAAACAGACTAGCACTCAGGCTATATGAAGACCACCCATCCTATCGAATGTGACCCTACATACAACATGTATTTGTCCTATAACAACAACAATAATAATAATAATAATAATAATAATAATAATCAAAAGGCAAAGGGGCTTACCAGATATAAGCTTATCAGAATGTCCATAGAATTCTGCTCACATTCATGAGGATTAATTATGTATGGTAGTCTTTTTCATATCAAGTTGGAACTATGCGTCACAGGGCATATGAACTTACCCTAACCCTGCCAGTGCTAAGGATAAGGATAAGGCTAGATTGTACAGGGGCTTGGTAAAATGCTTCAAAGCCGACAGTTTTATACTCTGAGTATAATTTCAAGTGGAACTGACAGCGTTTTAACTACTTTGCAGAAATGAAACAAACAGACAATCATAATGTCAGTAAAAAATATCAAATTCCTAGTTTATGCTACAAAATCAACTGTATAAGAGGTTTTTAAAAATAGGTTACATTTGACTCCAAATTCCATGACGTACAGTAAGGTATTGTTGGCAGAATAGATGGATGCAGTTCAATGCATGATTAATATAATTCACCAATACATTTCTTGGTAGTCCAAAAAATATTACTATCAGATTGTAAATCACAGCTGGCCTAGTACTAAAATGTAAATGTAAATGTACATTGTTTGCTGCCTTCACCCATTCGGGATGCACTGTTTCAGTTTCAATGACTCAATATTTTGGACAAAAACTGACTAATGTAACTGGGCTGGGAATGCCAATACAATCAAACTAGCAAAGGCAATGATCACAAGTCAGTCATAACGTGGCTAATAGGCTAGCGTATCTATTTATGTAGCTACTTATTTAGTAAGCTAAACACTGGAGCCTAACGTTAGCTAACTGGATAACAGTCGTTCAAGTTTACGAACTTGAACCACTGTTATCCAGGGAGGATATCATGTCATTGGAGGAGTGGGTGAGTGACCAACTTTTTCCTCTCATATCGCTTTTCGGTGGCTACAGCTAGAGATGCAGGTGTCATTTGGCTAGCTAGCTAGCAAGAAATGTGAATTGCTTTGCTAGCTAGCTAGCTATGCTGAACATGAACAACCGTTATCCAGTTAGCATATTTCTTACGTTGGTAAATTCACTCTGGGTATCTACTCCGATTTCAGAGCACTTTGGTCTGAGTGTGCCAGATCGCAGAATAACTGATGAATTTACAAATGCGCAACACCCGCTAAATATGACCGGTGTCAGTAAACGTCAGCAAAAAAAGTTTATTGACGAGTACCTGAGGCTCATTGTGAGGCCCATTTATTTTAAGATATCTGTGACCAACTGATGCATATCTGTATTCCCAGTCATGTGAAATCCATAGATTAGGGCCTAATGAATTTATTTAAATTGACTGATTTCCTCATATGAACTTTAACTCAGTAAAATCTTTGAAATTGTTGCATGTTGCGTTTATATTTTTGTTCAGTATAAATAACCAAGTAAATAATCCAGTGGTGATAGTTGCTTTGTTCCCCTTAGTCAGATCCTCTGGAATAAACTCTGTGTCTGTGAGACTGTATTTAGATTAAGGATTCTTACCTGCCAACCTTTTGATGTCTTTCTACTGTCAATGGTACTTCTCTTTTGAATCTATAAGAAAAACAAGAAAAACAGGAATTAAAGGAGACTGTATCAACATGACAGTCCATTCAAACAGCCCATCAGAAGAGTTGTTCCCAAGTCCCCTGTGCATTGAGACATCTTCAAAAATAACACTACCATCAATTTGCAACAGCATTCATCCACTTGTTAGTAGTATTGCTGACCAGAGCATTGCTTAAAGCATTGCTTGAAAGTAGGAAGTACAGTAGGATAGGGCCCTGGTCAAGAGTAGTGCACTATATAGGGAATAGGGTGCTTTTTGGAAAACAACCTTAAAATCTATCTCAGTGTTTGTTTTGTCCAGGTAGTTGCTAGGACTACTCAGCACCATTACATTTGAGTGTGCAGGTTAAAAGCTCTTTAGGAGAATATTCACCAGGCTATTAGAGGAGTCACTACTTTAGCATTGACCTAAGGGATTCAAAGGGAAAAGGGTATTCTGTCATCTCTTTTTCACTGATGTAATCTTTTTCTCTATAAATAATCTTAATCTGGGAATTATGATACGATTCTCTTATGACATATACATTTCATAACATGTTTTTTATTCTATAATTTTTTTCAGAAAGACAGTAAGCAAATTCAGTTTACAGAAGATTTTTTGAATTGCTTTAGAATCAGTCAGGTAAGAGCTTGACTGTTTTGGTCCGTTTATGATTCACATTTACATTTTTACATTTTCGTCATTTAGCAGACGCTCGTATCCAGAGTGGCTTACAAATTGGTGCATTCACCTCATGATAGCCAGTGGGACAACCACTTTACAATATTTGTCCTATCCCAGGTATTCCTTAAAGAGCTGAGGTTTCAAGTGTCTCCAGAAGGTGGTGAGTGACACCGCTGTCCTGGCGTTGTGAGGGAGCTTGTTCCACCATTGGGGTGCCAGAGCAGTGAACAGTTTTGACTGGGCTGCGCGGGAACTGTGCTTCCGCAGAGGTAGGGGAGCCAGCAGGCCAGAGGTGGATGAACGCAATGCCCTCGTTTGGGTTTAGGGACTGATCAGAGCCTGAAGGTACGGAGGTGCCGTCCCCTCACAGCTCCGTAGGCAAGCACCATGGTCTTGTAGCAGATGCGAGCTTCAATTGGAAACCAGTGGAGTGTGCAGAGGAGCGGGGTGACGTGAGAGAACTTGGGAAGGTTGAACACCAGACGGGCTGCGGCGTTCTGGATGAGTTGTAGGGGTTTAATGGCACAGGCAGGGAGCCCAGTCAACAGCGAGTTGCAGTAATCCAGACGGGAGATGACTGGAAAGTGCCTGGATTAGGACCTGTGCCGCTTCCTGTGTAAGGCAGGGTCGTACTCTGCGAATGTTGTAGAGCATGAACCTACAGGATCGGGTCACCGCCTTGATGTTAGCGGAGAACGACAGGGTGTTGTCCAGGGTCACGCCAAGGCTCTTTGCACTCTGGGAGGAGGACACAACGGAGTTGTCAACCGTGATGGCGAGATCATGGAACGGGCAGTCCTTCCCCGGGAGGAAGAGTAGCTCCGTCTTGCCGAGGTTCAGCTTGAGGTGGTGATCCGTCATCCACACTGATATGTCTGCCAGACATGCAGAGATGCGATTCGCCATCTTGTTATCAGAAGGGGGTGTCATTTGACGTAACAAACGAGGATCGGATATCGTCAACCTTCTTTTCAAAAGGGTTGACGAAGTCATCCACAGAGAGGGAGGGGGGGGAGGGGGAGGAGGATTCAGCAGGGAGGAGAAGGTGGCAAAGAGCTTCCTAGGGTTAGAGGCAGATGCTTGGAATTTAGAGTGGTAGAAAGTGGCTTTAGCAGCAGAAACAGAGGAAGAAAATGTAGAGAGGAGGGAGTGAAAAGATGCCAGGTCTGCAGGGAGTCTAGTTTTCCTCCATTTCCGCTCGGCTGCTGGAGCCCTGTTCTGTGAGCTCGCAATGAGTCGTCAAGCCATGGAGCAGGAGGGGAGGACCGAGCCGGCCGGGAGGATAGGGGACATAGAGAGTCAAAGGATGCAGAAAGGGAGGAGAGGAGGGTTGAGGAGGCAGAATCAGGAGATTGGAGGGAGAAGGATTGAGCAGAGGGAAGAGATGATAGGATGGAAGAGGAGAGAGTAGCGGGAGAGAGAGAGCGAAGGTTGCGACGGCGCATTACCATCTGAGTAGGGGCAGAGTGAGTAGTGTTGGAGGAGAGCGAGAGAGAAAAGGATACAAAGTAGTGGTCGGAGACTTGGAGGGGAGTTGCAGTGAGATTAGTAGAAGAACAGCATCTAGTAAAGATGAGGTCAAGCGCATTGCCTGCCTTGTGAGTAGGGGGGGGGACGTTGAGAGGGTGAGGTCAAAAGAGGAGAGGAGTGGAAAGAAGGAGGCAGAGAGAAATTAGTCAAAGGTAAACGTAGGGAGGTTAAAGTCACCCAGAACTGTGAGGGGTGAGCCATCCTCAGGAAAGGAACTTATCAAGGCGTCAAGCTCATTGATGAACTCTCCAAGGGAACCTGGAGGGCGATGAATGATAAGGATGTTAAGCTTGAATGGGCTAGTGACTGTGACAGCATGGAATTCAAATGAGGAGATAGACAGATGGGTCAGGGGAGAAAGAGAGAATGTCCACTTGGGAGAGATGAGGATTCCTGTGCCACCACCCCGCTGACCAGATGCTCTCGAGGTATGCGAGAACACATGGTCAGACGAGGAGAGAGCAGTAGGAGTAGCAGTGTTTTCTGTGGTAATCCATGTTTCCGTCAGCGCCAAGAAGTCGAGGGACTGGAGGGTAGCATAGGCTGAGATGAACTCTGCCTTGTTGGCCGCAGAACGGCAGTTCTAGAGGCTGCCGGAGACCTGGAACTCCACGTGGGTCGTGCGTGCAGGGACCACCAGGTTAGAGTGGCAGCGGCCACGCGGTGTGAGGCGTTTGTATAGCCTGTGCGGAGAGGAGAGAACAGCGATAGACAGACACATAGTTGACAGGCTACAGAAAATAGCTACAATAATGCAAAGGAGATCGGAATGAAATGAACTAAACATCTGGGAAAGCGAGAGAGCGGGGCCTCCCTCACTTACGTTTCACTGAAACACCCAAATATAACTCTCCCAACTTCTACCTCAGAAACTATAATTGTTGTAAACTACAGCGGTTCAATGTTTTCTAGGAATAGACTAACTTAGTTTATTCAGCTAGCTAACTTG